TTTATAAGAAAGATTTTTAATATAACATTGAGCATTATAGCATGAACCTGTATTAGATTACAAGAAAAAAAGTTTGAACATACTCCCACTTTCATACGTGGGAGTTACCCCAGTTATTATGGCATATAAGAACCATCTATCTCTGATGTCAACCTTTGTAAAAGAAAAAAGGTTTTCTTTGCTAAACGTTACCAGTCAATGATGTGTCATTTTTTACACTTCTGTGAGATTTGCATAAGCATTCGAACAACTGCTAATTCAGTTAGAGTTCACAGAAAGGGTTTTGTTCTGTAAGGGAGCTCTTATCAGTAGATCCAGTAGATCTAATTCCCCCTTTTAGAAGCACAAACATGAATATTAGAACTTAAAGAGGAAAAATTTAATGTGTATGAGACATAATATCTGGCAGAGACACCTGCATGAACATGGCTGATCATTACAAGCCAGCTTGTGGGCAAATGAGTACAAGTTAGTAGTTGTGAAACATGACTGATGCTCATAAATTACTTTAGTTTGAAGTTTGACTTCAGTTGTCTGCCTACACTAATGCTGTGCTCCAACAATGCAACAGGAAATCTGTGTACTGGTGTTGGAGGAAAGAAGAAGAAGAAGATGATGTATGTGACCACCAAAAATGCAGGTAATAAAACAGGGCCAGGATCAGTTTAGCCCTGCTGGGGTAAAATATTCCTACTGCTTCATCCTTACTTTCTGCTCTCTGTTCACCCTCAGAGTTTGACAGACATGAGATACTGCTCTATGAGGAGGTGGCCAAGGTCCCACCTTTCAAGAGGAAAACTCTGATTCTGATAGGTGCTCAAGGTGTGGGGAGGCGGAGACTAAAGAATAAGCTTCTACTGAGGGATCCACAGCTCTTTGGGACCATAATTCCATGTATGAAGTCTGATATATTCCTTTGCCTTATTGCTTCTTATTGCTAAAGCAGCTAGAATTGTTTTTTGTTATATTGAGTCGATCGGTAGGCCCACAAACTCCTATGCAGGAAGTTGATTTCGGCTCTCTGATTAAAAAAAGATCTTGATCCCTGATCCTCTGATCAGTCCCCTCTGCATCATCTGAGTCTCAGCCAGTAGATGGTGCAGAGGGGACTCGCTCAACCTGACTGCCTTCATGTCCAGATGTCTTCCCTGCTTCCCCTGATAGAAAAAAAGCTGACTAGCTTTGCAGGTCAAACCTTTTTGATTACACCTGTTGTGGCACTTGTTATCCTGGGATGGTTTCAGAGGCCTGTACAATAGGCCCCAAGGGAAGATATTACTGGGAAAGGCTAGAGCAACCCATTAGAGCTAATATAGATTAACACTCACCTTTAATGTTTCTCAAAGGGTTGAAAAAGGAATGGCCACAGTTTAGACTTTAATAGCAGAAGATTTTATTAAAACAACTTTTCAGAGTGGGGTCTGCTACCAAATGTGGCAGACAAACTGACTAAAATGTCCACCATCCATCTAAAAATTTTTACATTTTGGGTTGGAGAGCTATGTTAGCTGGCTTGAGCTAATAAACTGATCATAGTAACTTCCTTGTATTTGCGCAGACACCTCCAGAAAACCCAAAAAGGGAGAGCGAGAGAGTCGGATGTTTGCTTTCACTACCCGCAGCAAAATGGAAACAGACATCAAGAACGGGCGCTATCTAGAACATGGAGAGTATGAGGGCAACCTGTACGGCTTGAAGATCGACTCCATACATGAGGTGGTGGAGGCAGGGCGGGTCTGCATACTGGACGCCAACC